ATCATGGTTGCGACCAGGTAGAGGAGTCTGTCAGTGAGTCCCTCTCTGACCCGAAAGATCCCATGGCCACCATTTACGATTTGGACGCCGCTCACTCAGCTAATTTAGAGCAGTCCGCGCTCAAGAGCAGCGCAGCCTTGCGCTGCGCGGCCCAGACCACTTGGAAACAGCTGTGCTTCCCCGAACAGGGCGGGGGACCCCACCGGCTGCAAGTATACTTGGACAAGCGCGCAGGGAGCAGCGACCAAGCTGTTCGCGCCTTGGCCCGGGCCATCTTGGCTCTCTACCATTGAATTGAGAAGCGGGCGACGGTTCTAGCAAGCAAGAAGAAACGGCACCCGCGAAGCACGCTGCCCAGAAACTGGCCTTGATGCCGTGCGTATACGACTGCATCAAGAACTTTGGGCGGCGATGCATCAGGCCATCTGCCGCGGTAGCGCCCGACAGCGAGCTGCTGCCCTGTGATTCCCGAATCGATGTGGTTCTGCCTTCTGTCCCTTCGCCTGCCCCTTGCTTTCGCCCCCCCCCCCCCTCTCCTCCGCCCCCCCCCCCTTTCCTGCGCGGCCCCGCCCGGGGATCGTCGGCGGGCGCGGGGCGGCGGTCGCCGGGTGCGCGCGCCATGCGCATTAGTTTTTTACGAGGGGCAGGAAAATCATCATGCACTGGGGCCGCGGCTCAGACGGCCCCATGCAACGCAAGACCTTGTAAACGACGTGCGATCGCTTCACTTTTTTGCCCCTCTTGCAGGAAAGCATGGCGCCCTCTCGTTGCGCGTGGTTTACTCGGTCCGCGCGCCATAGGTAATGAGTATCGTTGGGGTCCAACGTCGCCAGGGGCCACGCGCGGCGGGGCCCAGGGGGCCCGCGACCAGAAAGAGGAAGCGTGACAAAAAAAAATACGATGGGTTCATTTGTTGTTCCCTTGCGCGGGTGGGGGGAACACCCTCGTCGCCGCGCCCCCTGGCCAGTCGGTCGTCGGGGAATTGCCGCCGCGACCCTCTGACTGTATCTAGGGCTCAAGATGAAATGCGGCCCAGGATCGCCAGAGCCCGCGCGCCGCCGGCGCCTTGGCCCCGCGTGTTTGCACCGCAGTGATTCCGATCGCCCCGGGCTGGCGGCCCGCAAGCCGTATGCCCAGGGGCCTCGCGCTGCGCCTTCGCAGGCGTCCGCGGTGCCTTCGGGGGGGCTCCCCCTAGCGACGCACGCTGGCGCCTCGGCGCGTCGAGCGGGCCTGTTGGGGCCCCCGCGCTGCGACGCGAACCGTTCCGAGCCCCGCGGCGCGCCAGGCGCGCGCCAGTTTCTGAGTCTGAGTGAGGGCCCCGACAACTTGTCTGCACTTCGCGAGAGCACCTCTGTGGAAAGGGGGGCACGCCGCAGTAGGGCCATATCAGCAATCCACTGCTGCCTCCAAGCAGCCTTGCAGGAGAGCGTCAAGAAGCGGTATAGTAGTTCCCTGCGCACCGTAGATTCTTTCGAGAATGCCGCAGGATTGCAGTTTTTGCTTTGCGATCCAGACATGCAGTTGATGCTGCTGTTTGCCCGGGTGGACGGCCGGTCCCGGTCATGCGGCGCGAATCTGCGCGCTGCAGTGCGCCGTTGGCATCGGCAGCGTAATTTGACAGCTCAACTCGACAGTGCATGGGAGGACCTGTCGGCCCAATTCTGGAGAGGCCTGAAGAAGCGGGCCGATCATTCACGGTCGCACTCGAAGCGGCCGGCATCATTGGAATAACTGCGGTGTTCCCAAACCGCCCGCCTCAAAGCAGGAAGCCAGGCCGCTGTCCATGATGTCGCTGTAGCAGCAATCTCTTCTTTCGGCGTCCGGAGGTTTCCCGAGATTCTCGCGCTCTGGCGTCGAGACATACCTTTGCGCGAAAATTTCGTGGCAATCCTCGTGGCCCGCCAAAAGGACGACCCTTTCGGGCAATGCGTGGTGCGCCACGTCCCAAGGATCGTCGACACCCCCAGCGTATGCCCTTGCCGCCTCCTGCGGGAATGGCTTGTGCAGCGGGATTCGCGCTGGGGTTCCAACCCAGATGCGCCCGTGTTTTGCACAATTCATTTGGCCGGGCCCCGCCCCATGATTTGCGACTCTTTCCGCCGAAATCTTTCGCAGTTTTTTCAGACTGCGGCAGTGGGAACACTCGCTGCAAAAAGGCGGCCCCATTGGTGCAAGACAGTATGTTGCTTGCCTGAAGAGCTGGTGCAGGCTCAGGGCGGCTGGTCGGCCCCAGAAGCCATGCGAGCCTTTTGCGCCCGTTTCTCATATTCAGAACGGTGCGATCAGCTGCTACGCGCCTTGTCTACAGCTTCGAGTGGCGCGGCGGTCCTTGCCATCACTCATCGCCAGGCGCGCGTATCACCAATGCCTCTTTGGAGGCGCCTCGTTGGGAGTTTGTAAGCACTCGCCTCCTCGGGGCTGCGCCTGGCAAGTGCTCCTGGCGACCGTTCCTGGGCCACCACGGACATGGCCAGGCCGGCCTGCTGTTCCATGAGGTACCCCCCGCAAGAGGCATGTATTCTCCTTTCTAAAAAGAGAATAGACTCTACCCCCCCCTGGACTTATCGGTTCCCCCGTGGATAGTATGATTTCACACATACACACACATATATATATATATATATATATATATTCTGCACACTCGTCCATCCTAAATATGAAATCATACCATCCCAGCTAGGCCGGTTTCCCCCCTGACGTTCCCTTGTGCAAAAAAACAATATGCGGTGTTATTTTTTGTTCTAACATAGCATTTTTTCGCGAATCCCTTGCAAAAAAATGGGACGAAGTGCACACGCGCGCGTCGTCGCGCGCGCATGCCGAAATCCTTCAAAAACCTTCGGTGCCGGAAGGATTTCGCAATCGAGTTTTTTTAAACATACAAAAACACAGGGTTTCGCAACACAGAGTTGCTCAAACAGCTTCCGCGAAAGCTCTTGCGAAATTTTAAGAGAACCATAAGTTTTTCAAGATTTTCGCATATGCTACCAAACGGGCTTCGTGCGCGCTCATGTCGAAATCTGTCGAACGCCAATGCGCGTGTGCCGTCGCGATAATCCCTTGCAAAAAATGGGTCGAAGTGCAGACGCGCGCGATGTCGCGCGCGTATGCCGAACACCTTCAAAACCCATCGGTTTCGGAAGGATTTCAAAATCTTGCGTCCGAACAACCTACAAAAACACAAGGTTTCGCAACACGGATTTTCAACAAAAGCGTGCGCGCGCGCTCTTGCGTCGTCGTCCTCGTCGTCGCCGTCCTCCCTCCTCCCGCGTCGTTGTCGTCGTCGTCGCCTACGTCGTCCTCTGTCTTTCCTCGTGTTCGTCGTCGTCGTGCTCTTTGGCGTCGTGGTCGTTTCCGTCGTCGTTGTCGCCGTGGTCGTCCTTCCTCCTCCTCCCTCGTCGTCGTCGTCGTCGTCGTCCGTCGTCGGCGTCTCGTCGTCGTCCCTCCTATTTCGTCGCCGTCGTCGTCGTCGTCGTCGTCGTTGTCGTCGTCGTCGTCTTCCCTCCTCCCTCGTCGTTGCCGTCGTCGGCGTCGCCGTCCTTCCTCCTTCTTCGTCGTTTGCGTCGTCGCCGTCCTCCCTCCTCCCTCGTCGTTGTCGTCGTTGTCGCCGTCGTCGTCCTCCCACCTTCCTCGTTGTCTTCGTTGGCGACGTCGTCGTCGTCTTCGTCGTCGTCGTCGGCGTCGGCGTCGTTGTCGTCTTCGTCGTCGTCGTCGTCGGCGTCGTCGTCGCCGCCGTCGTCGTCGTCGTCGTCGTCGTCGTCGTCGGCGTCGACGTCATCGTCGTCGTCGGTGTCGTCGTTATCGTCGTCGTCGGCGTCGTCATCGTCGTCGTCGTTGTCATCGTCGTCGTCGTCGGCGTCGGTGTCGTCGTCGTCGTCGTCGGTGTCGTCGTCGTCGTCGTCGTGTCGGCGTCGTCGAAGTCGTTGGAGACGTCGTCGGTGTCGTCGTAGTCGTTGTCGGCGGCGTCGTCATCGTCGTTGTCGCTGTCGTCGTCGGCGTCGCTGTTGTTGCCAAGTGCCATGTGGTACCCACCGTCACGGTCTCAAGAGATTTTGCAAACCAAGTTACGGGTGGGTGGGTGGGATGTTTGCGCGAGCAGTGGAGTGGACAACTCACTGCGAACAGAAATTAGTTGCCAGACATAGGAGACGCCGCCTTGGTCTTGGAGGCAAAACGGTTCTTTCCCGACTCCATCCCCCAGTCTCGGGGCAGCGAACAAGCAGAATGCGTCTTTTTTGAAGGGGACTGTGCACTCGGGAAAGGAGCTTCTGCGGGGTCGTGGCGCTCGGCTCGTCCTCCTCGCTCGCTCCTCGTGCGTCTTGCTGGATTCGGCTCGCGCGCAGGCGCCCTGTTCCAAGGTTCCCGCCCCCCGCGCCCTTTTTTCCATGCCTGCTGCAATCCGCTTCCCTTTGGGGGGGTTGCGCCTGGCCGGTGCTCCTGGCGGCCGTTCTTCGGTCACCGCGGACCTGGCCAGGCCGGCCTGCAGCTCCATGAGGCCCCCCCCCGCAAAAGGCATATGTTGCCAGACACAGGAGACGCCGCCATGGACTTGGAGGCAAAATGGTTCTTTCCCGGCTTCATCCCCCAGTCTCGGAGCAGCGAACCAGCAAAAGGAGGAGGAGAAAGATGAGGAGGAGCAGGAGGAGGAGGAAGAGGAGGAGGAGGAAGAGGAGGAGGAGGAGGAAAATAAATATAACTGCCTCCAGCAGCGGCTCGGCCAAGGAAAGGAGGAGGCGGAGGAGGAGGAGGAGGAGGAGGAGGAAGAGGAGGAGGAGGAAGGGGAGGAGGAGGAGGAGGAGGAGGAGGAGGAGGAGGAGGAGGAGGAAGGAGGAGGAGGAGGAGGAGGAGGAGGAGGAGGAGGAGGAGGAGGAGAGGAAGAGGAGGTAGGGGAGGACGCCAGGCTCGAGCCGAAAGAGGAGGAGGAGGAGGCGGCAGGACGCAGGAGGGCGGAGGATGGGGGAGGGAGGACCGCAGGGGGAGCGGGGCGGGCGCGGGCGCAGGAGAGCGCCGCTGCGCGCCCGCGCAGCGCCTCGCCGACCGGGGGCAGCGGCCGGTGCTCCAGCGGCCGCGCGTCGACAGAGGCGACGCCCGGCTCGGGCTGCTGCGGCAGCCCGGCAGGCGGCGGGGGCCTCGGCCAGCGGGCGCTCGCGCGCGTCGGGAGGGGGAGGAGGCACAGACCTTCTCCGAGCGCGGCCCACTACTCGCAGAGTGCCTGCTCGCAAACGTCCAAAACTCACACGTTCGCCTCGATGTGATTTATCGTAAGTCCTTCGCGACCGATCCAGTCCATTTGCGAGTAGTGACTTTGCGAGTAGCGGAACGCGCTTGCCTAGACCTGCCCCTCGTCGTAGAAGCATCCCCAGGCATGGGGCGCCTCGGGAGTGATCGAGGCGAAGGTTTCCTCGCAGTTTCTTCGGCCGCTCGGGGCCGTCAGGAAAGGACTCGGGATGAAGAGCTGGTCCCGGGGACATGCTCGAGAGGTCGGGGGCCCGTGTTTCGAGCAGAAAGCGAGACGCCGGATGTCTGGGTCAGGACGGAAGGTTTTTGGCACCGTTTGCGGCACCAGGGACGCCTCTATTGGGCCCTGGGGCCCTCAAGTAACGATTCGGGGCGTAAAGCTGGCCCTAGGGAAAGGGTCGGGACTTCTGGGGGCCGCGCGCTGCACAAGCCAGGACCTCGCACGCCTGGAGGGGGGCGTGCCGGTGCAGAGGCCGCCTACGGTCCGAATCGGTGCGATTCGGTTCGCGGGCCGTGCCCGCGATGCCGCTTCGACTCGACTCTGCTCGATCGGGCCAGCCATGGCCAGGCGCGGCGATTGGATTTCGATTCGATTCGGAACGAGCTGTTCGGATGCAAGTCCCGGGAGGTCGAATTCTGACCTCGCCCGGTTCGAAATCCCGGTGAGTCCCGCCTAATCTGGCTGGATCCCGCGTAGTCCGGCTTAATCCCGCTTGATCCGCGGCCGGAACAGCCTTCCAAGCTTGATTCTCCCGAATTGATCCTTCTGGCGAAGACCTCCCAGTAGCTGCCTCCTAAGATTAGCTGGCTCCGATCTGACCCGATTCCGCGATCCAGTCAAGGTCAGGCCCGCCAGCGGGGGCGCGCGTCAGGGGAGAACAGCGGTCCGATGGCAGTGCCCTCCCATCGTCTTTCGTCCTTTTGGGCATCCTGGGGGCATCCCCGTTCCAATGGCCTGGATTCGCGTCGGGGTCCTGGTCAGGACGCGCACGGCGGTGCGGCAGGTCTGTGTCGTGCCGACGCGGTGGCGATCCCGCTGTGGTGGCGCTCAAGGTGGAACGTCGCCAGCCGCACATGATCAGCCAATGTGGACCGATCTTGCGATCGAGAAGCGGCCGATCGTTCAAGGCAGAACGCTCCACGCTGTGTCAGAAAGCCAACGCTGGGGTCGTCACGACACGACCCCCCCCCCCGTGGGGCGCCATGCGCGTGCGGACGGGGCGGGGCAGGGCGAGGCGACCGCGAGGGAGTGGGCGAGGAGGAGACACCGGCCGGGGATTGGTAAAGGTGTGCCTAGCCCAGGTTGTCCCCAGCTTTTCGCTCCACTGAAGCCTCTGGGGCCCTCTGTGTCCTGTGAGGGGTTCTCTGGAGGCCGTGGGGACCTCCTTGGAGATCCTGGGGACCTCCTTGGGCCAGGGACACCTCTGGCAGCACGCGAAGCAGGGGCAGCGACAGGGGGAGATGAAATCGATACGCCCAGGGGAGCTCGCAGCGGCCCCGCAGAATGCCCTCGTGTCAGGAGCTCTGGCTCAGCGTGTCGCTCCGCCGGTTCTGACACACCACGCTTCGGTGCGACACGCAATTCATGTCCTCACTCCCCAGGCATCAACATCAACGCTCCGAGCCTTCCCGAGCCTCTCGCCCCCCATGAGCGGAGCCGCACGCTGCCTGCGCGCCCGGCATTGGCGTGCCACTGGGCTCCGCCGCGTTTCGACACGCTGCACAGGAGTTCCCGAGCGCAGGCCCGAGGGAGAAGGCGTCGTCCCGGTGCACCCAGACCACCGACGTCGCGTTTTTGTCGCAACGTCGACCCGCAGAGGTCTGGACTCAGGAGGGAAAAAGCACACAGACACAATGAATCGTCGATTCCCCAGAAAACATGGGAAAACATGGGAAGTGGGGGGAAGGCACAAACCCAGAAAATATAGGAAAATATGAGGAATCCTGTTATTTGTGTCTATTTATTTGTGTGTCCCAGGGCCCCTTCATCAACCCAGACCACCGACGTCGCGTTGTTTTCGCAACGTCGACCCGCAGAGGTCTGGACCCCTTCCCCACGGTCCGGTTGCTCATGCCGAGGCGTTTTTCGTTTCGACGGCCCTGGGGCCCAGTAAGGGCCCCCGGAGGCCGAAAGTGGCGAAACACCTCCCGCCGCGATTCGTGTTTTTTTTTTGTCCACAGTGCGACGGGGTCTGGGAAATGCCCTTCCCTCGCCCATGCGGCCAGCGCGGTGTCAGGAACCGACGCGCAGGCCGTCACGGCACCAGCCCGTCGCAACGGCAGCGCTACCGCGATGCTTCTGCTCGGCGGCGAGCGAGGGGAGGAAGCGAGAAGCATAAGGCTTTCGCAGAAGGAGAAACCCTCGCGCCCTCAGAGAAATCTCCTGTGCCTTCGGGGAAAGCTTAGAAAACGGTTCAAAAGGCCAGGTGACTTCCGAGCCTTCTGAGAATCGAACAGAGGATCGATTACAGCATCGACATGCCCCAGAAATCATGTGTGTTCTTCGAGCCTCTTGAAAAAATGTAGCGTGCGTGCATGTGCGAACATTTTGGGTCCCCTTGGCCGTAGGTTTGCTGGAGATTTCAAGTTTGGGTCGCAGGAACTCTGTGGCCGATCCCCTACTCGAGCGAAGGCCCGCCCCTCTCCTCCTCCTCCTCCTCCTCCTCCTCCTCCTTCTCCTCCTCCTCCTCCTCCTCCTCCTCCTCCTCCTCCTCCTCCTCCTCCTCCTCCTGGGAAGACCCGCCCCTCCTCACTTCCCCCCCCCCCCCTGGACGCGCCGGCGCTCTGCTCCCCCCCGGGGGGCTCGGCGGTCGGCTCCCCCCGGGAGGCCCGCCCCGAGGCCTCCCGCGCGGGCCTCCGCCCTTGGGGGGGGGGGGGTCCAAAAGGGGGTTTCGGGGAGGGGGCTTTCCAGGGATGGTCCCCCAAGGAGGGGTTTTGGGAAGGGGTTTTTGGGATGGGGGTCTTCCAGGAGGGGTTTGGGGGGGCTTTCCAAGAGGGGGTTCTCCCAAGGGCTGCGCACCCTCTGTTTTGCCGAGGTCCCGAGGCCCCCTGGGGGCCTCTCTGGAAGACCCCCTCACTCAAAAACCCTTTTGGAACATTCCGGTTTGCGGGGGGGTGGGGGGGGCGGCGTGCGGGCCCTCGCGCGCGGCTGCTGCCCGCTCCTGGTGCACGAGGAGGCGATGGCCCCTCCTGGTGTTGCGTTTTTTTTCCCAACCATCCTGTGGTGTTGGGTCCTCGTTCTGAAGAGACGGTGCCCCGCGTCTCCTCTCCTCTCCTTCCTTCCTCCTCCTCCGCCTCCTCCCTCCTCCCTCCTCCCACCCCTCACACGTTTCGTGGCCCCATAGGGAGCTCCACCGAAGGCCCCAGTGGCCGCGTCCACATGGCGGCGCCGCACCCATTTCGGCACACCCCTCACACGTTTCGTGGCCCCATAGGGAGCTCCACCGAAGGCCCCGGTGGCCGCGTCCACATAGCGGCGCCGCACCCATTTCGGCACACCCCTCACACGTTTCGTGCATGGCGGCGCCGCGCCCATTTCGGCACACCCCTCACATGTTTCGTGGCCCCATAGGGAGCTCCACCGAAGGCCCCAGTGGCCGCGTCCACATGGCGGCGCCGCACCCATTTCGGCACACCCCTCACACGTTTCGTGGCCCCATAGGGAGCTCCACCGAAGGCCCCAGTGGCCGCGTCCACATGGCGGCGCCGCACCCATTTCGGCACACCCCTCACACGTTTCGTGGCCCCATAGGGAGCTCCACCGAAGGCCCCAGTGGCCGCGTCCACATGGCGGCGCCGCACCCATTTCGGCACACCCCTCACACGTTTCGTGGCCCCATAGGGAGCTCCACCGAAGGCCCCAGTGGCTGCGTTGGCATGGCGGCGCCGCACCCATTTCGGCACACCCCTCACACGTTTCGTGGCCCCATAGGGAGCTCCACCGAAGGCCCCAGTGGCTGCGTCCGCATGGCGGCGCCGCACCCATTTCGGCACACCCCTCACACGTTTCGTGGCCCCATAGGGAGCTCCACCGAAGGCCCCAGTGGCCGCGTCCGCATGGCGGCGCCGCACCCATTTCGGCACACCCCTCACACGTTTCGTGGCCCCATAGGGAGCTCCACCGAAGGCCCCAGTGGCTGCGTCGCATGGCGGCGCCGCACCCATTTCGGCACACCCCTCACACGTTTCGTGGCCCCATAGGGAGCTCCACCGAAGGCCCCAGTGGCAGCGTCCGCATGCGTCCCCACCACCCATTTCGGCACACCCCTCACACGTTTCGTGGCCCCATAGGGAGCTCCACCGAAGGCCCCAGTGGCTGCGTCCGCATGGCGGCGCCGCACCCATTTCGGCACACCCCTCACACGTTTCGTGGCCCCATAGGGAGCTCCACCGAAGGCCCCAGTGGCCGCGTCCACATGGCGGCGCCGCACCCATTTCGGCACACCCCTCACACGTTTCGTGGCCCCATAGGGAGCTCCACCGAAGGCCCCAGAGGCTGCGTCCGCATGGCGGCGCCGCACCCATTTCGGCACACCCCTCACACGTTTCGTGGCCCCATAGGGAGCTCCACCGAGGGCCCCAGTGGCTACGTTCGCATGGCGGCACCGCACTCATTTCGGCACACCCCTCACACGCTTCGTGGCCCCATAGGGAGCTCCACCGACGGCTCAGTGGCTGCGTTCGCATTGGCGGCGCCCGCACCCGTTTCGGCACAAGGGGTTCCCCTCACACCTTCGTGGCCCATAGGTACCTCTGCCAAAGGCCGCACTTGGCCGCGTCCACATGGCGGCGCCGCACCCATTTCGGCACACCCCTCACACGTTTCGTGGCCCCATAGGGAGCTCCACCGAAGGCCCCAGTGCTACCGCCCTCATGCGTCCCGT